AGCAGGTCTTGTTTAGCAAGCCATCTTGTGATGTACGTATTTGCTGATGCTTCTAAATTACTAGAAAGATATCTTGGTAATAATCAATTACTAATTGCAGGGAAATTGGCTCCCAACATTAAGAAGACTTGTTTCTCAGATAAATGAGACTTTTAGCCGCAACTTTCAAGAGATGGCTGTTGCTGGAGAAGTGTTATTGGGTACTGAAATTTAGTGATCTCCTGAAAATTTACGTCCTGGGAACTTTTTCTTTATCCTTAATTTCCTTGCGATGGTTTTTTTCCTCTTAGATGAGCATGATATGGACTTCGATCAATTTGGGATACTTATTAAAGTAAAGTTCAGGTGAGCTTAGCTTTCGACACCCGCAATAAGATCTAAATATATTTACTGCAGCTAAGCTACCATGTACTAGGGCTGCTAATAAGATTTTATTTTTCACGCTTGAATACGATTTCTAATTAAATGTATCTGAATTGCAGAGACTAAGTTATCTGACTCATCTCATTGGCATGGGTTGATTAAGATGTATTTTCAAATCATTGTTACGTGGGGAGTACTAGCCAAGATATTTCACTTTTTATCGTTATCAAATGATATTCAAGTACTGGTGGTCTAACCCATTTTATTTTTCACTTCATTTCTAGGTTTAGACATGACTCAGTCTGACTACCTGGAAATTCGTTCTTTTATTATTGACAAGTATTTCAATAGATCTGTTAAGAACTTCCAAATTATTGGATGTCATTTAATATCTATCCAGTTTCTAAAAGAAGTATCTTATACTTTGACATATTCTATCAAAGGCGGCGAGAACTATATACTAATAGAAAAATTACATCCAATCCTGAAGAGTAGAAAAATAAAGGAAAATTTGCATACTTTTTGGCAAGTCCACAGGGAAACCCCAAGTAAAACGGGATATTTTATTCAGTCTTCTGCTTGGGTTTGGTTTGATTAAATGGCATTATACTGAGTGTCTTAGCTATGGTGGCTGTATGGCTAGGAATTGTATACTAAAATCGAGTATTTTGTGCATTTACCTTTCAGTTGACTATTCAGTTTATTGTTGTGACTGTGCCCAACTCTGTTCAGTCTTTACATATTTATGGTAATGCTATTGTATGGCTAGGAATTCTTTTATTTAAGTTAATTTATGATTTAAGTTTTATTTAATTTTAGTATTCTATTTAACCACTAATTTTATTAATATCTTATTAAATTAAAAAATTTTATTTTACTTAATCCAGAGTATTTTTAATACATAAAATTGTTATATATAATATTTATTTATTATTTTATTAAGTGCGCCTCATTTCACTCTCGCCTTGAGACGATAACGAGGCTCGTCGCCTTGAGGTGCGCCTTGCGTCTTGAAAACACTGCAATTGTTACATTTATTTATTACATTTCTTATATCTTGAAATGCTATTAACAGACAAGCAGGTCAACTTCAGGTTCTCAGTGCACATCATCAATCTGGAGGGGTATTACAGCTCATTGCAGTCTTCTTTTCTTGATTGGAACTAGGTAGCTGTTTTATAATGCTTTTGATCTTTAATTTGCTAGGAACGCTCAGTGTCAACAATTCTCTATCTTGTTTCCCTTCAAGACCTTACCAACTGCCCGTTTAGAGTAGTTGACGAGATAAACCAAGGTAAGTAGCCATGTGAATTATCGTCTACTGGCACAAACAAGTGATGTAACTCGATTTTGCTATTGACTTTCGACAGGAATGGATCCCATAAATGAACGGAAGATGTTCCAGCAATTGGTGAGAGCTGCCAGCCAAACAAATACACCACAGTGAGCACTAAATACTTTAACTTGACATCATGATTTAGACTCTGGTTGAGCAGGCTGTGCTGACAGTTAGTTCTGGCCCTAGTATAACTATTCTCATAATGTCTGGATAGTTTTTCCCATATGCTAAAAGTTCTTTTGATTTTTGACTATATATAAAAAGATATATTTTTGAATTGAAAAGAAAAATAAAAAAAAAATGCTTAAAAGCCTCTTTCTTGGTCCCTCTCGTACTCACTACGTTTTTGCTTATTAGGTTTTTGTAATCAATTTATTATCTCTCTCAACCAATGACCTGATTTGCAACGCATATATCTACATTTAGGGTCGTGAGAGTGATAAGAAATTAATAATAAATTTAGTAAGTAAAATAATCATTTATTAGCTGAAGAAAAAGTCGCATAACTACATAAGCATTTCCACCTGAACGCCTAACATGTCTAATCAGCTATTATGTCAACTTTTTGTTAAGATCCTTGACATCATTTTATTCCCAGAACCACTTAGAATCTTTTTCTGCAATTCAGGGATTTAAGTTAGACATAGACTGTCATTTTCTTAGAGGTACAAACCAAATAAATTTTGAATTTAATCTTCAGATACCAAAAGCCTAATTTATCATTTATTTATCCTTAGTTTTATTTTATAATTTTCAGTTTGTAAATATTAATTTAAAAAGTTCATTAGTTTTTAATAAAATTGGAAATAGAAAGTATGTTTTTCTATTCCAAGATTTACACAATTTGAGAAATTTGTAGAGAAAAAAAAATAGAGACAGCAAAATATTAAAATTGAAACAAAAACGAGATCATGACCACAAATAACTCTTCTATACACTGCTTCATACATGAGTTTGCTGTGGAACAAGTTGAATCTGTATTTGTACAAAATATATCCCGTGAACCAAACATTATAGCTTTGTAATAATGTTTTTCAGGTGTTTCCTACTTACTCCAAAGTTACTTCCAGAGTTGGAATATAGTGAGGCCTGTAGCATACTGAATATAATGAATGGACCGTGGATCGAGCAGCCCTCTAGAGGTTTTCTTCATTTTCTTTTGCTTTGTTTCTCGAGGAATATCGATTCGCACCAACCCACGTAAAATTTTTTGTACAACAGCTTGGAGCAATGGAGATAGCTGGGGAACATTGATGAACTATGTAGGAGAAAGCCGATGTTGATTGACGATTAGCGAATTGCCATGCCGGGGAAGGTGAAGTTTGATTACAGGAGGCTTCTCTCGGAAGTGAACCAAGTTCTTTCTCACATTAAATGGCTGCCTAGTCCCATAAACGATTGTGTAATTTGTGCTTTCGTTTTGTGTAGGTTTCTTTTGTAAAGCTTTCGATCATATTGAGCAAAATGAAGGATGCTACAACGATTAGCAGGGTTCTTGAGATAACTATTGCTGTCTATGGTGTTCTTAGGAAGCTAAAATCCCATCTGCTTCTTCTTAAATGTTACTCATGGTAGCACCTTCTGGTAGATTAATTTTGTATTTAGGAAAAATGTGTTGTTGAAAGCAGTCATTTTTTGCCAAACTCATCTAGACGATGTTTGCAACTTTCCAGACTTGAGGAGATTTATCTTCTCTTTATTTTCTCTTTACTAACAAACTTGAGAAAGCAACTTAAACTAATTATATGTTTAATAATTTTTTTATCTCATATAAGAATGATAAAATAATGCTTATGTTTTGAAAACAAAAAACTGAATGAAAAACCAGAAATTTTGGAAATGTTTCTTAAAAATGTGAAACGAAAAATAAGGATAGTTTTCCAATACTACCCCTACAAATTTAATCTTCAAATTTCGGTCAATACAGAACATCTCTTTCATTGCCTCTTCAAAAATATCATATAGGCAAAACTAATTTTAAAATGAAGTCGGCAATAATTCTGTAAATTTATCCAATTAATGTAAAGTTTTTCTCCCTCCGTTACTTTTTGTCGGGAAAAAAAAAAGAAAAAAAGAGAGAGAGAGAGAGAGAGAGAAATAAACAATAATCAGATGAGGTGAAAATGATTGATACCAATAACAATAACAAAACTGAGCTACTTTAAATCACTTCAGAAACAAATGAATATGCAGTTTCCAAGTTTCAACAACTCTTCAACCCTGGATAACCACCAAGCTCTCTTCTTTCTTCCGACACTATAATAACTTTCTAACCGTTCTAACCAACCGTTCGGCTGCTGAAAACGATCGAAAGACGCATCCAAGAGGGCTGAGATTGAACAGATTGAAGAAGACATTTACAGGTGTAGAGTAAAATTCTTCAAGCATTTGATGATGGGATCTTGTAATCAAGCATTTCCCTTATGTTCAATCGAATCGAAGGCCCCATCGACGAGCATATATGTGCGCTCTTCCAGTATACTCCTTTAGCACCCGTTGGCTTGTTCACTTCTACTGATTTCTGTTAGATTAATGCGAACGAATCAATATGGTGACGACTCGTAAAATTTAGAAACCAATTAAGGTCTTGAAAATCTAAGATCAGGAAAGAACATACTACTGCAGCAAGCAAATTCACAAGGAGGTCGTCTTCAGAAAAGTCTGCCTTCCCAAAAGGCAAGTGAACAATCCCAGTTTTATCCGCTCTATATTCGACTTTTCCCTGCTTGAATTCTGCTATAGCCTGTAACAGGATAAAGCTATATCATTCAATATCTCAAGTAAAACCTTCCCCTCTTTCTGGTTTTTTCCTTGTGTATGTATGTATGTACAATTTTATACAATGTAGATGGATCAAATATATACCTGAGGTATATTTGTTGTGACGGTGCCAGCTTTTGGATTCGGCATCAGTCCTCGAGGTCCTAGAAGCTTCCCTAGACTAGCAACCTGGTGCGAACAGAAAGGACATGAATATGAAATTAACGGTTCATTTACATAGTTGCCACAACTAACAAATATATCTCAAGATTGGCATCAATTCCGAAAATGACCACCGAAACTATTCACAAAGATATCAGTTAAATTTCATTTGGCTTTATTCTATCCAGTCTCTTTTATTCTGTGACACGGACACAACGACGTATTTTAGCTTAATGCAGGTCGTAGATGGAATAAGAGGCAGCCAAGAATATTTTCCATACAAGCATTGGAGGAAAAAAATTTAGTTGCATATGAGAAACTTAGAAATGTGCTTAGTAATAATTTCCAATTAAATGGAGAATATGCTTCATTCCAACTGATAAAGAATGCTTACAATATTTATATTTTTGGAAAGCCACCATAGTGTATGATAGGAAAAAGATGCAAGAGACACACCTTTGGCATCATATCTGGTGAAGCAATTAACTTGTCAAATTCCATGAAACCTCCTTTGATCTGTTCAATCAAATCCTCACCACCAACCAAATCTGCTCCTGCATTTTTCGCTTCGTCGAATTTTTCACCTTTATAATTCAGAAAGCAATGAGATCAATTGAGAGGAAGAAAAAGAAAAGGGAAAGAGAGAAGCATCGTGTCAATAGATATAATACAGACACAAATAGCATAGTTGAAAAAGCAACTCGGTAAATAGCCAAAACAAGCTGAATCTCGAATCCGTAGTTGACTCATGGGGTGGAGGCAAATCGGGAATCCACATTAAAAAGAAATATAAAGAACAAAGATTAAAAAAGAGGAGTTAAAAAAGCTTAGCTCCAATCCAAGAATACATCTCTCCAATTACATATGACCCAAATCAATAGAAAACCGACTTATCAGCATTAGCCAACAACTGCAAAGCTGTACAAAGATTTAAACTGGGACCTAACAAATATTTTCATCCTCCAAATGCCACGTATCGTATGCACACCCAGGTCCTGTTTTATTTCAATAATTGTGGGGGTGGAAAATTGAACCATCAACCTTTGAGGTGGTAATAGTTTTCTTTATCTATGGCCTCCAAATGTCATGATACATATGCACCCACAAGTTAAGAAGTGAAGATTCACTCAATAGGAAGAAGTTCGTATAAATAATCCCTCCAGATAGTTAAAGCAATCTCATTAAAATATCTGTTTTCAATCAAGCAAGCAACCTCCATCTTTTAAATCGAGGGTTCACCACATAATTTCACAAAGACTGAAGACAATATACCGTTAAAGCTCATATAACTAGTTGCATAACATTTTTTTTTTGTTCTTTTAACTAATAACTGGAGTACTGGATATCTCACTTCTTGCATTATGCTCATGGCCCTGCATTCACTAACCCCGGGAGTTTCGCACACCTCAAAGCCAACTCTAGGAGACAAGAACAATTTTAAGTTGTTAAGTTTTTGACCTAGGGGCTTGAACCCAAGAGTTGGATGGTATCTTCAAAAGTCACAAACCCACAACACTAGGGCACCTCTTAGGTTACTAGTTGCATAAAATGTTGATATCCTTTTCAATCAGGAAACACTGGTTCTGCACAAGTGAATAAATGAAGCCAAACTAATTGAAAACTAAAGTTACATCTACCAATGAAAGTTATACGTTACCCTAACCAATGAAAAGATCATATAAGTCAAATTTTGTAACTACCTTGAGTAAGAACAGCTACCTTGACCGTCTGCCCAGTTCCCTTGGGCAGATTTACCTATAATAAAAGCGAGCATTGGTGATGAAGAACATAGACATAGTAGAAATTATAATCAAGTAGTTGGTTGGACATTTAACTATATGTTTCAATTATCATCCAATTATCAAAAAGACTTACTGTTGCTCTCAGCTGTTGATCATTATATTTGGGATCGATGTTTAATCGGAAGTGGGCTTCAGCGGTTTCCACAAATTTTGTGCTAGACATTTGCTTCAGTAAAGATATTGCAGTTTTCAAGTCATACTCTTTTTTGCTTTCCCTCAATTTTTGAATTTCCAGGAACCTCTTAGACCTGGTCTGCATATTTCCAGAACACAGTTTCATGTCAGAACTGATGCAGCAACAATAAGTGGAGACAGAAAATACATATTTTAAAAGAACACGCCTAACAGTAAGAACAAAAAAACTAGGGACGCCTGTGCAAAACTTTTAGAGGGAACAGTCCACCTATGGAATCTGTATTTCCCAAATAGGAAGTATGGTTCCATCTAATGGATTCATTTCATTTTGAAACTATTTGATCTCTTGAGACTTCATACATGACCCTTTAGAAGACACATTTCTGTTCTCAACTCAAAAATTATGAGCTCAGACAACAATAAAAACAACAAAAGGAGAAAAAAAATAAATGAAGAACCCCAGAAAACCAGGCTAGCTCGTGGAAGAGAAGACAAACAATGAAACAGAAAGAAAACCTAAAATGAAGCAAAACCCACCAATCAATCCCTAAACCCACATCAACAAGCCAGTCAACAGGATTGAAAACAGCCAAATACAAGAGCTTAAGCTTACTCTGTCCCTTTTAAGAGGCAATGCAGCCTTCCCTCTCTTCAGCTTGGGCACAACCGAAGTAGCTAATCCAGCAACTCCCTCCTCTCCATTCTCTTCCACAACCTCAGCCACCTCAATTTCCGCTGCCAAAGCAGCCACAACCAAATGATCCCTAGATTCTCTCCTAAAATTAAGGTCGACCCAATTGATGGACCTCCCTCCCCTGCGCTGCACAGTTAAGGGGTGGCATAAAGAGAAGATGGTGGCGGTTGAAGAGGCAGCCATGGGCCTGAAGGAGAGAAGGGAGGGAATGTCTTGAGGGTGTACTGAAGAAGTGTGCGCCATCGTAAGGGACGAGCGCGCAGTGGGACTACAAGTGGCCATTGCCATTGGGGAAGCTCAGTCTGTCCAATAGAAGAAGAAGAAGAAGTTTCTGGTTCTGGTTCTGGCAGTCTATCAACATAGAAATGGAAGAGATAAGAAGAGAGATTCTGGGCGATGGTAGTAATGAAAATCGAAATGTAATCAGTAATGGATGTTTATTGCGGTCATTTGGGGCGTAGAATATTAGAAATGAAAGTGAAAAAGAAAAAGAGGTGAAATTTTAGGAAGTGGGTCCTTTGTTGCGCCTATCTTCTTCATCTTTTCAAGTTCTTCTCCCTTGTATTTTTGCTTTCTACCTCTTTGTTTCATTTCATTCAGCTTTCTAATTGTGAATCTAATCCACTGTTTACTTGATCCGGCTTTATAACAATAACTTCAATTAAACCCATGAATTTGGTAAGTTCGCAAATTCAAACGTAATTTGGGTCAATTTACACGCATCTTCATTAATCTTATGGAACACCCATCTAACCCTGCAGCATTTGATAATGTGAAAATATATAAGAATTAATTTGTCTAACTTATGTTTAATAGTTAATGTATTGATATTACATTCCTTTAATCTCAATTATTAATGTAATACTTTTAAATTTTTAACAATAAATGATATTGCAGTGTAATTTTAGTATAAATTTGTTGCCTTTTGAATAATTATCTTGTTATAAAATAATTACATTTTTTCTTTATTATCTTCGTTGTTTGCACGATATTGGATGGATGTGTACAAAATTTATCAAAAAAAAAGAAAAAGAAAAAATAAAGATAGATATATATATTGTTGAGTCCATAGGGCATAATCCTCCTTCCCCATCAAATTATTATTATATTTTTCACGTCTTTATTGTAATTACCTCTAACCCTTGCTTTGTTAACTGACTCAAATGATTTAGTCACTTATCTCGACTAAAAGGTGGTGAGTTTAAATTATCATTCCCACTTCTTATACTAAACAAACTTTAATTGTGACAAGTAGAATGGAGGGTTCCTGCCCGAATTCTGATCATGATTTTTAAAAATTATTATTATATATTATATATTTTCCTCTTTGACTTTTGGCCTAATTGAGATGGGTATCTCCACAAATGTAGTGACACCTTTTTTTCTAATACAATAACTTGTTATTAAAAAATAAATAATTAAAATCTCAACTAAATATAATTTAAGAGAATCCAAACCGCCACATCAACAAAGTTCAATGGTAATTGACATGTACTCCTTCCCTCTAAAAAAAGATCGAAACCTAAGAAAGTCTTTGACTTTAACCCACCTAGACTACAAAATTATTTCTATGTATATATTGTATAGTCTTATCCCAACTCAAGTTTGACCTAAAAAGATTTAAGTATTATGTGATTATTATTACCATACACATCAAAGTTAAAAAGAAAATTTAGAATAGTGTCCTAGAATACGAATTGTAATACATATTAATAATTTTTAAAAGTAAACTAATGTTAGGTTAAGATTAGGGCAAAGATTAAGATCAGATAGAAACATGAAATATATAATAATAACTAAAAGTATGAAATTTGGATAAAAAAGTCAGGGTCAGAGTTAAGGTCAAGATGGGATGGAACAGACATAGAGTGAGGCAAACTTTGATGAGAATTCATCTAAACTAAATTGAATATTGTTTATCCAAAAAATGTGACGGAATATGGCTTGGTGGCCATGCGGAAGAGTTCGACCTGCTCCAGGTATGACCGATGGGAAAGCTGACCCGCTTCATGTATGACCACGGGAAGAGCTTGGGTATCATTGGAAGGGATGACCAGCTCAAAAGGTCAAGGTCGACTGATTGAGATGCGTTGAAGTGTCATGAATGAGCTAAAGGCCACTTGGCGAAGAAAGACCTGCACAATGGAACAAACACTCCGACGCTCAAGTCAGTTTGAGTCTGACCTCAATATGAGGATCGAGCTAGAATATGATACATGACTGAAGAGTGAAGTGTCATATTTATAGGTTGAGGTACCCTATTTATAGACTGAGGTACCCGACAAGGAATCCAACCTGCGGTTGAGCATGTCGGGACCAAGGTCGACCTGTTGGGGTTCATATGATTGTCATCCAAAATTGAATAAGTATGGAAGGTCGTTCCTCCCTTGAATGATCTTTAGGGAAGATATGAATGAAGTCGGTCTTTAGGCAAGGCTATGATGAAGTCGGCCTTTATGGAAGATCTTCAGGTCGACCACCAAAGGCAAGACGTTCAGGTCGGCAACCAAAGGGAAGAGTCGACCACCCAAGAGAAGACCTTCAAAGTTAGACCTTTTTCTGTACTCAACGTAGCAGTACGATTTTCACCCCAAACAAATATAATTTTTATATGATATAACAATTTAAATAAATTTTAACGAAGATTTCTGGTCCCAAACATAAAAACTAATTCAAATTAAGATTTTTCATCTCATCAGAAAGGTTCATTATGTAACACTAGGTTCGTAGAAATTTTCTTCTAACTAATGTCTTCACTAGTTGAATTATAGTCATTTAGAGCATATTTGAAAGTATTATCATTTTTTTAAATCACTTATATTTCACGGTTGAATATTAGAGTATAATGCTTGACATTGATGTGCAAACAATTTTAAAAAATGACAAAAATAATTTTAGCTATTCCAAAATTACTTCCAAATATGTCTTTGGACTCTATCTAAATTTTTGCTAAATAAAAAGAAAAAAAAAAGAATGTGAGAGAGTAGATTCATTTAACATTACAATGAAAGTTTAACTCTTTATTTCACAATATTATATATTTATTAAATAAATCATCTACAATAAGTCTTTTAAAACTAAACTCCTAATAATATATATTTTTTCTTTGCTAATTGGCCTTTGGGAGGTAATGAGTTCGTATATATATATATATTTTTTTTTCTGTTTAATAATAGTTTGATAAAATAAAATATTTGAATTTCAAATTTATCTTTATATATTCAACGAATTATCTCTGAAGTCCTGTATAGAAGCGCAGGTTTAAGCATAAACCCTAACCCTACTTTGCACAAAAATTTCGGAGAAAACATGACTCAGAAAGCCAACCAATTCAAAGGTCAACAGAAGCGGAAAACGATTCCTCCCAATCGCCATGGCAAAGTCCCCCAAACTCGTAAAGGTATCTCTCTTTTTCTTCTATCTGCTGCATTTACGAGTAAAAATTGTGTTTTTCTTCCTCCGTATTCATCCGACGTTTTCTTTCCAGGGAAAAGATTTGTGAAGCCATCAAAGATCACCAAAGAGATGGAAACAGATCGGGTATGTTTTTGTTTGGGTGTTTGACTGCTAATTTATATGGAATCTAGTAACCATGAGAGTAGAAACTAATGTTGATAAGTTGTCTTGTTGCGATAGTTTGTGTTTTTAATGCTTTGAATGCCAAATTCTGGCCCCCGTGGTTATATTAGATGGAGAGAGAGAGAGAGACCTTCAATTGTAAAATATGGCTCGAAATCTTTTTCCCCCCTTCTGTGTTCGGTTTGGGAGTATTGGATTAAGGTTCAGTGAAACTGAACTTAAGGTATCGATATAGTTAAGGTCATGTGTGCGGTATATATTGTATAGCAATTGAAATTCGGGTGAACTAGTAACCATCCATAGTTTCGATTAGAGAACAGTTCTGAATTTCCCTTGCCCTTTCGTTGCCAAGAATGGAATTGGTGTATGATTTTAAAGTCCCTGTTGGCTGAACGTGTTAGTTCCTTAGTTTATTTCAAATTCCACTTTGACATCGTTGTTTTTTATTGTAATGCGACAGCCGGTGATTTTGTATCAACTTTTGCTACATGTACGCATTTGGGCATTAATATCGAACAATTTATATGCTTATGGCCTTGATAAGTACTTCTTTTTTATTGTGTTGGAATAGCCACTGCATTGGTGAGAAACTTTTAATGGCTAAGACTTTGTACTGTATGGAAATATAATTTTTAGACGGGTTGAGAGGTCTTGGGAGGAGATATGCAATGTTATTAGATTTAACACCTCTTTGTAGGTGCCTATCTAAGGCTTTTTGTAATTATGAGTTGTGGGTTGTTTTCTTGGATTGGGCCCCTTTATGTAGGTTTGGGTTGCTTTTGTGGAGCTTTTTTTTTTTTTGGTACAACCTTGCATATTCTTCTTCATTTTTCTCAACTAACGCTCAGTTTCTTACAAAAAGAAAATTGAAAAAAGGAAAAAACGTTTTGGATTTTGAAGGATAATGAGATGACAGTTGGGCAATCTTGACTCTAAGGGTCATTTTTGTATACCCGTTTGATTGGAGCTTCCTTAACATGAAAATAGTTTTTTCTTTATTTTTAGTTCACTTCTCTACAATTTCTTCCTTTGTAAAGTTTGAACTATGCATGAATAAGAATTACATTAGGTCCTTGGGAAAAGTTTGTGCCCATTTGTATCAACAATAATACGGTGTTTTCGCCTCCTATAAGGTAAGTAACTATGCGTTTGTGCAATCCTGGGTGTCAGATACATTAGACTTTAGCCAAACCTATATTTGCAAATTGATAACATATGCATGCATGTCAAACATGGTTTGTCATGTCTCTGCTTGTGTCTAGATCCATTTTTAACCTTTCTTTGTGAAGGGCTCGTCGTTTCAAGAGGAAGGCTAAACTCCCTCAGGCTAATAATCTTTTCTAATAGGTGGGAACGGTTTATAGAGAAAAACAGATGAATCTTCTGCAACTCTGGAATGTTTTATTTCTTATCATAAAAAGTTATCTTCCTGTTTTAAGGTGGAAATTAGTATAAAATGGTTGAAAATTTTTCCTGTATTTAGCATAATGCTATAATGTTTGACTATATGCTTCTTCCTTGAAATGACTTTTGTTGAATACGAAAAGAATGTAATCTTTTAGTGAAAGAATAGGACATATTAGGCATGCTGTTTCATGTACAATGGTTAATAGTACTATTGCTGTTGAGAATTTATATGGTTTACGAACCTTTGCCCTTTTTTTGACATTCCAAACACAAACAGGAATTGAGCAAGTTCATAAACTACTGCAATGAGACGAAGGCTGCTACTCTAGCCAACAAAGAAGGCGGCCAACTCAGTATTGTTAAAGCCCCGTTGGATGCTGGTAATAGTAGTGCGAAGAAAGAGGGTAATAGTAGTGCGAAGAAAGAGTAGAGCGTTCGGATGTTCGACGTGATAGATTAGCGTGAAATTATTTGTAATATTGTTATTTCTTGCTACATTTTTTTTATCTTCCCACCCCATTGAGAAGGGAAAAGGGTGTGTTGGGTTGTTCCTTTTCTAACACATTTCCCAATTTTGTGTCTAGTGAATCTGTTACTACTACATACATATATATAGTCTTCATACTCTATATGCGAGATCTCGCAATGTTGAGTTGCAAATTTGAGTAATCATGAAAAAAAATATTGAGCGGCCATTTTACAAAAATTTATGGAAGTTGCTGAAATTCACTTTTCGACCTTATGTATAATTAACAGTAATGGATTTTCAATCTCTTAATTTACAGTAATATCTATTTTATGTTATGTTGGTGTTCAGCATAGTTTTACAATAGTTGAACTAAAGAAAATAGAGGGTGATGGCTAGTTGGCAATATGTTTCTTTTTAAAATATAATATTTTATTGAAGTTCTATTCCTGAAAACCATGGACTACAACAATCATCTGCAAAGAACTTGGACAGAGTAGAAAAAAGAATGAACTGAAATTTTGTGGTATAGTATATCGTCTGAGAAGCATTTTTCAAAATTTGTTGATTTTGATCATTAAAATGTCAATAATTTAATTTGCTGATTTACAATATCAGATCTTGATGTGCTTGTTCTTGTTCAATTTATTAATTCCATCAATAAAGGCTGGCACTCGACTCTGCAATAGGACAAATTTGAGTTAATTGATAATATGATACAAAAACCAACCACTATTATAAACATTACTACGCCTGTATTCCTGATATATTGATGGTTTGTTAGATCCTGTGAATCAACAACTCATCATGGAGGAGGCATTACAGCTTAACAGAGTACTTCTCTGAGCCAACAAGTATTTCAACCGCTTCAAGCACTATATTCGGATTGAAGATCAACTTACCAGAGTAAAAACAAACCAGCATTTGCTGCACAGACAGATTTAGTACATTCTTTAACGTCATAACCACCTAAAATGGAACTGCCTACAAAATTTATAAGCTTGGGCAATGACTTAAATAATTTTGGGGGGCCATTTAATACTTAAAATCATGATCCCAAGTTTTTTAACCTCAACTTCCAAATAGCCAATGGGAGAAAACGAGTGAAGACAAAACAGTTGAAGGGCGGGCTAGGAAGATTACAGAATGATATCTTTTTTTTTTAATAATTGGGAGTCAGAACTTTGCTCCCCTATACACAACGACACCCGCGCCCACCCAAAACTCGAACCTGGGAGACATCAAAGATTTTTTGTATTAAACTCATCGGAAAATTGAACTTGAGACTTCCAAACCAGTATAACCAGACCCCAAGCCTTTGCCAACCAAGGTGTCTGGGGCTTACAAAATGGTATCTTAATATTCAATAATAGAAAAATATAATAGTTGATTTCCTTGGTATGTTTTTCATGAAAGCATTGGTGGGAAAAAGAGGAAGAAAAAGGTTACCCCCATGGCATGCATCTTCAAGCACTCTTCTAAAGAAATTTGTACTTCTCACTTGAAATTATGAACTACCCACGGAATACCAAATAAAGGAGGGAGGGGTACAAATGGAGACAGAAGAAAAATCCCACAACTCCTCTATAGACAACAAAATCAATGTTGGAGACCACAAAACTTGAACAAAACAGAAACTAATTCCATATTGGATTTCATTAACTTGGCATCCAGAACAGAAATTTCCATCATAATATATAAAAATTCAGAGAACACCACACAACACTCTTCACTACCCATTCGCAATAATACTAAGAGTACTAAAAAGAATCATTATACATCCTTAATAACCAAGGACTTATCTTATCCAACAGTAACTGAAGCTAAATGTTCCTTCAATATCCACATAACAGAGAAATTCCTTAAATAATTAGGAAAACTCAGTCAACATGACCATAATCATAAGCATGCCTAGTAAAGAGGAAAAGGGAGCCCCAAATGCATCTATAACTTATAAGAATTCAGATGAATATAGAGATGCACAAAACCCAGATACAGCTGTCACATAGTCGAGATGCCATAATACAGATACCAAAAGAATTATAGTGGACTAAAAGCCAGTGAAGTTTCTCAGCCAGGGTATTAATCAACAACTGCATCGGATAAAGTATGTAAACAAACAAGTACTTGATATCCACAATGCAGAATTATAAATTCAGAACACAAACAAGCTATCCATCAAAAAAACCACTTCTCAACAAAAAATTCAGCCCCCACCTCATCCGGCTTTCTAGTTAACCTTAGAGTCCGCTTTCGATACATTGCCCTTGGACTCTGCTTTTACCTCAGCAGCGCTCCCCGAATCACCACCAGAACAACACCCACCACCATGCTGATGCCCATGATGGTGATGGTGGTGGTGGTGATGGTGATGATGATGGTGCGCAGTCCCATGAATTTGCTTCCCTTTAAGCTGTTTCCTCATGTCATAAGCATCCTCACCATCGGCGTAGTACTTCGCCTCAATATCATGGATCTTATACCCCAAAGTCTCGGTATACAGTTTAAACGCAGCTCTGTTACTCTTCCTCACATGGAGGGAGACATACTCCGCTCCATAGACCTGTTCCATGGCGTTCTGAGCCGCGTTCATGAGCTTAGTGGCTAATCCCAACTTCCGGTGCGTGCGGAGCACAGCGAGGGAGGTGATATGGCCATGGCACTCGTTGCTTTCTTCCTCCATTTTAGCAAGAACGTATCCGACAATATGCCCGTTGTAATCCTCGGCGACGTAAAGAAGCTGAGGCCAGGAAAGAATGTGGTAGAAGTAGTATTTCATCTGGTAATTCTCTGGGAGGCAAAAGAGATTGCAGGCCTGCATGGCCAGAAGGTCGTTTATGGTTGCTTTGCGTATGCAGACCATGGCTGGCACTGGTAATCGGAGAGGGAAAATTAGGGCTAGGGTTGAAGATGGAGCAGTGGAGATCGAAATCGAGGATGAAGTGGGCACGTTAGGAAGAAAGAAATGGAAGCCGTGATGAGAGTTCCGGGTATTTCTTCTTTGGGCCGTGAGGATTTGGGCCTCGTAATGGGCCTTTAATAATGATCGCACCTTCTCGTCTGTATAAATTGGATAAATTACCTTTTTCAACCCCACAAAAGTTTGCGGCTAAATTAAAAAAAAAAAAAGAAAAAAAAACTCCTGAACTTTGTTTTAGAAATATCTCAATTATTTCAAAATTCTTTGTACTTAATTGAGCAAACATGGCTCAAATATTTAGGGTAAAAATACTATTTGAGCAAAATTTCTGCTTTCCTCCACTGTTGGAGAGTTTGCTTCTCTTTTAAAAACATCTTCATTTTGTCTAGACTTAATACAATTTTCTATATTAATTGTCACGTCGTTCCATATTCTATTATATTAACTTTGTATTTAAAATATTAACAGATTTTTGTTCAAATGATATTTTTGTAACGTCTATAGGGTATTTTGAAACAAATGGCAAAGTTCGTAATATTTTTTTTTGCAATTTAACCACCATCCTAATTTGGTTAGTTTTAAAAATTCTAGTGTGGTCCTTATAATTTAGTTAAATTTCTTAAACCATACCTGAAATGACTAAATGTTGACGATTTTATTTACACATTTTCTTTAGATGTTAAATTCATCTGCTTTATATACAATATTTGATAATACCGGGTATAGATTTAGGAGATTTAACCAAACTACCTTGTCTAAATTGAAAATCTCATAACCATAAAAATCAAATTGAAAACAACTACAGCCATTAGGGGCTAAAATAATAATTTAACCTTACAAACTTTATATACCTTTTTAGTGATAAAATATAAGAAATTCATCTAAAATTTGATTTATAACAAAACAAAAATAAAATACCATAATTATAACGGAAAAATTTTAGGTTCAACTTGATCAAGTTAACAGTCCGTTTCACACCAATTTGAGTTGGATTGATCAAAATTTTCAAGCTATCTTTATCACGATACAAATTTACAATATAAATATAAAGTATCGATAAAATATATTTCTAATCTCCCACAAAAATAATGTTTTTTTTTTCTTTTAATAATAACTAATCAGGGGTATTTATTTGTCACACCTCCACTCTCAAATCGTTGAATTGAAATCTAAAAAAATTTCCTTGGAAAAAGAAGTTCTATCTATCACAATTTGAAATTGTTCATCATCATAAGACATTAGGAAATATGTACGTTGTAAATAAGAGCATAGCAAAGAACCATGAATTCGACAGGAAATAAAAAATTAGTTTTGAAACTTCCATAATCTAATGAACTTATCATTGTGCGTTGTGACTATCTTATTCATCCCAACAGCTAAGCTTGTGATCTGAGGCCGATTCCTTCTGTTTATGGCATCAATAGGAGTCTCATATGACACCCTTTTCCCTATCCTTTCTTCCACAACCCCGAGACCGTTCTGATATGTCGATAACAGCCTACTATCCATAATACAGCACGATCGCACCGTGCCTGTATTCTGCTCTAAAATGCGTAGAATGCCATCTATTCCACCAACAGCCAAACTTGACCTGTCATTTTGGAGGTGTCGCAGAGAATACACGATGTTCGGGCTCACTCGGGATTCCCATAAAGACTTCATTGTCCTAATAAGAAATGTGCAGAACTGAATGAGAGGTTATAATTTGAAGAAAGTGATTATAGTAAATCAACACATAACATGGTTTAGAGTTAGAACATCATAGACAACAAGAAATTAAGCATCAGAGCTTCTCTTCCCTTTAGCATAATTGAAGGATATAGTTATCACAGAGAGTAGCGAACCTCCTGAATTCCTGAACCTAATTTCAGGCAGTAATTTTGTCACGTTTTACTATTCAAACAGCAAAGAAAATTCAGTGTCCCTTAAGTTCATTTTTTCTTGGCCTGAAGCTATTCCTCATTAACTTAAGCCCCTATGATCACCATTTCGTTTTTTGTTTTATATTTTTTAAAATTTTTCTTGTTTGTCACAGTTTCTTTGATATGTTTTCACATTTCAATTTGAATTCCTAGCACAATTTCAAAAACAAAACAAGTTTATACGCTTTTCGACTAATCTCCTAGACAAATTTAGATTTTGAAAACCATTTTAAGTAGATAGCAAAACAAATGAATATAAGCACGAAAGTAGTGTTTACAAACTTAATATTCAAAAACAAAAACCCAAAAATAAAATAGTTATCGAATAGAGTCCTATTTATACGCTTTTCGACTAATCTCCTAGACAATTGCATGATCTTACATTTAAATGGCTATGAGATTTATCCCTTTAATTTTTTAGCTTGTCCACTTGACCAGTAGGCAACCCATAGTGTCATTATCTCTAATTAATACTTAACAATGTAATAGTTGCAAGGTTCGTAGGAGAAAATTATATTCCATCTCCATTGATTGACCAAAAAGCAAGCTGAAACTCGACATTGAAGTTAAATCAAAAGCTTCTTTTGCAAACCTGAGATCCCAACAATAGACATGTCCAGCAGTTGATCCCGCAAATACTAAATGTGAAGAAGCGTTGTAACACAAAGTCCTTATGCCTGCAAATGGAAATTGTAATAAAGTATACACTGCATTTAACATAAATCGATTGAAAAAGAAATATCTTTCAATATATGTTGAAACTCATTGCAGTAATCATCCTGTAGCAAACATGAACGGAACTAACCACAAGGAAAGCTACAAATGTTCTCCAGTTGAAAAACAAAATATATTAGTGCTTTGAGAATAGCGTTAGAAAAGCTAAACGCAAATCACTGGGGCCTGTTTATTTACTCAGATGTTAAACTACACTGCTGAGATGCTTCTATTCTTATCTCTAATTCGTAGAACAAAAGGTTATGTTATATTTTTTACACTAACTGTGACACAAACAAAAGTTTTTAAACATGGAGAATTGTGCAAGAGTAATAAAACTACCACATGCACAAAGAATGTGAAATGAAGGCATCAGATATAACCTACGGTATTTCTTGATCTAAGCATTGCTACCCGCTGATCAGAGAAAAGACCTGATACTCCAATGTTTCCAAGAACAGAACCGCCTAGTATGAGCTGATCATCACTCACACACAAGCATGTCACTGGCCCAGGAAGCATCCTGCAATATAAAAATTAACAAAATTGGTGCAATTGTAGCAGTACATAGTATGTCAACGATTTATGAAATTCACATAAAATCACCCAAGCAATAAGAAATGCTGAAAATTAGCTTTCCATTAACCTTTGATTCGTATAAAATATAGATCCTCTCTTTTTATCATAATGTGCAAATGTCATGTCAGCATAAGCGATTGTGTGCATGGGGAAAGAGAAAGTAATGAAATATCAAACTCGTGTGATGGTATTTTCACCAATTCATTTTCTAATGGCTGCTCCTTGTCTGTTCAGTCATTGCCTAAACTTAGGAAGTTAATAGCCCCTACCAAAAGAACATAAGGAAAGGTATCATGACATATGTATTTCTCCTGGTTTACCTGATAATTCTAGAGCATCTCCTACTGTACATGTCAAATACATGAGCTGTTCCATCTTCACAACCAACAACAGCCTCTGGATCAAAGTAACTGTAATTGGAAGACTCATCATACAGCTAATTGAAAATCAATTGAGAAGAAGTGCTTTGAGTCTATAAATGATTGCAGAATGCGGAATAAGGTTGCAGTTACAAATTTACAATCATTCTTTAATATCATAAACATTAACTGGTGCACCTGAGACTATTGGGATGAATAAGTTAAAGTACAAGACAAAGTTGATACAAGTATGAGAATATATAGACGAAAGGTATAGTTAAACTTTTTAAAACGTAGATCACGGAAAAAAATATGATGTTAAAAGAGTTTTTTTTCTGAAGTAAAAGGCTGAAATTAAATAGGTCTTAATATTAGTATTCTTATGCCTCTACTGTTAGATGGCACAATTTTTTTGTAACTGCCTGTGCTCATCCTTTTCTACTCTTTAAATTACTTTGGAAAGAGAAAGAAACAATCTTATGGGAGATCTCAATTTGTCTCACAAAATGTGATGCACATTCATAATTGTCGCAAATGCCAATGGTACTTCGGTGAAACTTAAATTATTTTAACATCATTATGATTTTAACACAGTTAAGTTAAGCCACTTACCGCATACACAAACCCTTCTCAAATGTACATTCACGTGAAGGAAATATACTTCTTTTCCCACTCCGACTCCATATGCATACCTGTCTACCAACCAAACCAACAATCTAGGACAGTGGTTTGCGAAGTTAGATTTCACTAGGCTAATATTAGTTCTCTATTGGAAAAGGAATAAAGTTTATAATTCCAAACAGAAAAGTGCTGAGTGACTTGAGAGTAAAAGGATAAAAGGAAACGATTGCATGTATATATAAAAAATATATCTCACCTTTTCCTATAATGTAGCATGTTTTGTCAAAAAATTTCAAAACAGGTAGCAAGAACGTCCGCGTATTTATTAGAGATACGTCAATATTACCTTGCCCTCGTCAAAATCAAAGTCAACCAGAGGCACTTTCGCCGGAATAGAATATTCTTCCAGACATCTGAAGTTCTCTGACGACCAAAGTCTCATAACCTGGAATTGCAGCACACTCTTTTAGCATAACTAAGATAGAGGTCTGGCAACAATCTAATACAAAAATTGCTCAAAGTAATTACACCTCTCTCTCTCTCTCTAACACACACACTTGAAGCTAATGGCGAAAGTTCACCATATAGAGTACATGGCTCTCTCTCGAACACGCCCACACATTTGTTTATCTATTCATTTATCACCTTTTTTTTCTTTTTTGCTTCGGTGGACAGAACAAGTAAATAAGTTGAACCAAATAGTAGAGTAAAGGCTATACTTTATCACCCACTCCTGTAAGAATCAAGCCCATCTTCATTCGGCATTGTTCTGCCCTGTATAGAAATCCATGTTACAGGAGTTATTATATAAATCTGCACAGTGATTCAGAATGTTCATGAGAATTTAAAATACTTTTCCAATTATGCGTCTATCATAAAAAACAATGCTACAAAGCAATCTAGAAACACCTTATGAAAGTATTTGAAACACTGCAAGTGTGCTAATTAGAAAATTTTATATACAATAAGAGGTCCGAGGATAAAGAATCCTCAGCTACAGATAAATCCTGAAATGAAAACACAAAAGAGTAAAACAAGGAAGCGTTTATATCTGACTATCCAGCAACTTACTCCCAACTTGCCACAGTTACCTTACTGAATGGCCTGTCCAATGAGAAACTTTAATAGGAGCTTCTTCAAAAGCCAACTTGTGTCGTTCCATCGCTATTTCCTCTAAACATACCTCCAATGGTTTCTCTGAAGAAAATGATATTTCGGAAGAACTACCAGAGTTCATCTGCTGCTTCTGGTGCCTCGAGCAAAACGCTTGCAATATCTCGGACTTATGAACAGCATAATTCCTTCAAGCACATACAGAATTTCGTTAGAGACATCGAATTAACATCCAAGAAATTGCGATTACATCCAATAAATCCACTACGTTTTCTATTCTCTTCAATAGTACCAGGATTTACAGACAACGGAGCAGCGAACCAAGTCGAAAAGGTCAAGAAAGGAGAAAATTATGCACAACATGTCATGGCTTAGGGAGGGAACTCGTTTTGAATCAATACCACTCCGTTTTCTAGTCGAGGACCTGTCGGCGGCCGGTGGAGGAGCCATCGCCGGCGTCTTCCAGCTGCGATTCACGAACGGCGGGTTGGAAGCGCCAACGTCTGGAGAGGAAGCCGGCGACTACTAGCAGATGGATCTGTGGGCTTTCGATCTCTGGTGGACACGTGCTTCAAGGCCCATAAGCCATCTACAATTTTTTAAATCTTTTTAAAACGTTAAAAACTCAAAATCTATGAAAC